CAGAAGGCACCAGATAAATAAGTGTTCTTATGCTTATTATTGCAACCTTTTGCCCGATGGTGTTAAATAAAGGTGACAATTCCCAAGCCACGATAGCAAAAGGGCAGTTTATGTTACCCAAACCAGCAGCAGGCAGAGAAATCCTGCTGAGAAAGTCTTCTCTTGAACTGACAGAAATTGCTTTATCTCCTGAGCACTCTGGTGCTGCTCCCCGTGACTCACAGGAGCTGTAGTTCACAGTTCTCCATCTGGGCTTAATCCAGAGCACACAGGAACCTTTCTAGCTGCCATCCACACCTGCAGTAGGTAAGGAATGGGCTGCCACCTTCATGCAGTTGGTACATGCACTCAAATAGGAACCCCTCCAAAATATCCCCACGGATCATGATCAAAATTTAACAACCCCATCTGTCCTGTGCCCCCCTGGGCCTTATGGACCTGTTGTGAAGTCCCATGTTGTTTCCTTCCAGCTGATGGGGGGAAGCATCCCAGACATTTCTGACTGCTCAGCAAAGGGATTCTCTCAGTTGATCCCATTTATGTGTTTCCTTGACCATCAAGAACACACCTACCGGGGAAAAAGCTTCTTATGACACATCCCAGGTATTTCCATCACCTTTCTTTAGGTCTGCAGGTAAGGGATTGCTTAACTCTGATGAAATCAGGCACGTGTTGCCTTAACACCCCCCCAAGGTATTCACTTTCAAACCTATTTTGACATTTCTCTCCAGCTTTGCAGGATTGTCAGCTGCGGGAGAAATAACACTTGAGCTGAAATTTCAGTCTGTTTTTCGAGTTGAAAATTTCCAGGGCCTGGGTTTTGTTTAAACTCTCAAGCACCAGATGTCTGTCTTCCCTGAGCCAGCTATTATTTTAGAAACATCAGCAATGGCTACCAGTGGTGGTGGTCCTTTTACACAGTGGCTGTGAGAGAACTGGCCACTGTTTGGGGTCATCCTCTCACCTGACCTCGTGTAGGTGCATTTCGTAGCTAGAGCAGAGGAGAAATTGTGCTTCACCAAAAATGAGGTAACTGGGAGTGAAAACATAGGCAAATCCCGTGCTCCATTATGGCAAAATTAAGAGTTGGACTCGATGATCCTTGGGGGTCCCTTTCAACTCCGAATATTCCGTGATTCTGTGAAAATGGCAACACCCACTGCCACTGCTTAATGCTGAAGTGCTCCTTGTCAATTCGAAAAACCTGAACATTCAATCTCTTCAGCACTGAGCCAACCTGAGGCAAACTCTTGTTGAAGTTTCCCCGACATCGGAAAAACCCAAATCATTTCGCTATTTTGATGTTCTCCCAAAGAAAAAAAAAAAAAAAAAAAAAAAAGATGATGAGCCCCACCTAAAAAGTCCGAGACTTTCCATTTTCTCTCACACAAACAAGACAGCCAAATTGAGATTGCACCAGCACTGTTCATTCTGGCCTTCCAGAAACTTTTCAGAATTAGACTTGGTAACCCAAGCAACCTTTCAACATACATTTTGGGTATAACATTAAATGCTATGTATAACACAGTCACAGGAGTGTGCAAATGCCAAGCTATGAAAATTATTTCCCTGCTCTTTGGCAGACTGCACAGGCAGAGGGATTAGATTATATTCTACTTCTTTCTGGTTTAAAATATATTCAGACAACTGAATGGCTTTTCATTTAGCGCTTGTCCTGCAATTAATTTCTCATATCCTTCCTTTCAATCTTGGGAGGCTTTTACACAGTCTAGTGCATTGTGCTTTGTCCTCCCTTGTCCTTCCATTTTTCTGGGGATGGAGGGCATTCCTATTGCCTGTAACAATCAGTGTATCCACCAAGGGCTTCTTACTGCTGGAAGCTGTTTGCCAGCCTGGCACCCCAGCTTTTCCTAGGAACAAAGAGAGTGAAAGCTTTTCTCTCTCTCCCAGCATGCCCACATTTGAAAGCACTGCAGCAGAACCTCAACAGGCACAGATCAGAACAGGTCTGCTCAGACCAGTGCAGTGCAATTTAATAGCCAGAGGAAGATCTGGACATTTGCAGAGACTGGTCCCTTTGCTGTGAACTGTGAGCCACAATTCCTGTAAGTGATGGATCCAGGGTGCACCTGAGCTCTGAAGGGGCTGTGGTGATGGATGATGCTTTTATGTGAACACCAACTTAGCAAGAGACCTTTTGTGACGGTGAATGTGGCAACTGTTTACCTCCTTTATCAGAAAATGGCAGAAATCTCTGAAAAAAAACCCTTGCCTCCAGAGGCTCTGAATCATTCCTTCATTATTAATGGATTTCATTTTTTTTCCAGTGGAACTAAGCCACTGTACAAAGCTATTGATGTGAAAGAGGAGGCAATATTTTAGTTGGCTACTTCCTTGTCAGGCAGTGGAAATTGTAGAATTGTTTGGAAGGGACCTTAAAAGAAGGGACCTTAAACATCACCTTGTTCCAACCCACAGGCAGGGACACCTTCCACTATCCCAGGTTGCTCCAAGCCCCGTCCTGCCTGGCCTTGGACACTTCCAGGGATGGGGCAGCCACAGCTTCTCTGGGTAACCTGTGCCAGGGCCTCCCCACCCTCATGGTAAAGAATTTGTTCCCAATATCTAATCTAAAGTTATGATAACTTCTACTAGTGAGTGACAATAACCTTTGCTAGTGAATAGGAGCAACTTGGACCATCTCCAAAGCACAGGCTTCAGCTCCAAAGACATTAAAATCCTGTAGAAGTGACCACAAGTGACAAATACGTGGTTTCTGCTGCCAAGCACATTGTGATGGGAGACTGGGATGTAATACTCTAAGTGCACATGGAAATCAGCATTTGTCTTCCTTAGGAAAATGCAAGTATTTTTTATGGGATCCCAGAGATCTGAAGCAGTACCTCTCAACTTTCCTGGTCCGACCATCAATCAATCAATCAATCAATCAGTCACACACTCTGGAGGAAGGGGACCCTTTCAGCCCAGCCTCTGCCCTGTCAGGGTTTGGTTTCAGGGAGAAGCTGTTGGTTCAGCACCAGGCTCAGCCAGGAGCTTGGAAAACACGGGGTGAATATTTCATACTTGTGAGAGGCTCTCAGAGCAGAGTGGGGTCTGTGCTGCTGGCTCTGCTCTTCACATCCTCCCACAGCTTTCTGCACACAGGAGAGGAACTGGCAGGAAATGGAAGCTACTCACAGGAGCGATATTTTAGCTTCTGTGCTGCATAGAAACATTCATAAACTTTTTTTATGGTCTTTGGCTCCAGGAACTCCAGTAACTCTCACTTTACACCAATTTGATGACACTCCTGATTTTACATTAACCTTGGAAGAAGGATCTGGCCAGCAGCAACTTTGGGACTCTCAAGCAGAGGAAAAGACTAACTGGCTGATGGGTCTGACACATTTAAAACTGTCCTGGAGCACCCAAATGGCTGCTCTATCTTCTTCATCTCTAAACATTTTTACATAAATAAACAAACAAACAAATAAATAAATAAATGACGCTGGATACCATCAAATAGTCTAGTGAATTAAATGATGCAGATTTTAGATTGGTAGAGCATTTTATCAGGGCTAAAGCACACCAGGCAATCCACAGAAACACCTGAAGGTGCTCTGAAGGACGTAGGTGCCTCCCAGCCATGACGCGTTCTCGTAATTTTCAGAGTCTCTCTTCCCAGGTATTTTTTAAATCAGTTTTAACTAAGTCTCCTGAGACTCTCTTCTAGGTACAAACAACTCAATTTAAACTTAAAGCTGCCTGCAGACTCACAAGAGGCAGGTGTGTATGTTGTGTTAGTGTGCATTTCTACCACTGTCAGAAAAGGACAGTGGCAGAACAAAACAATGTAATTTTTTTTTTCCTTTGCATTTCTAACATGAATAAGGCTGTCTAGCCTGTTTGATTATTAGAAAGCAATCAGCTGTCCAACCTTGAAATAGGTGTCACATGACTGAGTTTTGGCTTTTTTAGTTGTGAGAAAATTGCGTTTTTCTGCCCAGGGGTCCTCCCTGGCTGAGAGTGCTGTGAGAAGCGCCTAAATCTGAATGAATTCTAAATCTGAATTAAGAGAATACAGTTGTGCTACAGCCCAGGTGACTGCATACCTGACCTGTGCACTGTTGAGCACATCTACTGCTGCAATTTTAAGAAGAGTTTTGCCGAGGTGGAAGTTGAGACTCGAGTCTCTGATGGGTGAAACAGTAAACATGCTGATTCCCACGGACATTCCGCTGTCTGAACCACATGTTTCTTTGTATTTTATACATTAATGGAATGCAATATGTATATTGTAGCACAGAAATTTAGGATTACCCATTATGCAAAGAACTCTGGTGGGAGAAGTTAATTAACTGTTGTTGCTATTGGATACCCAACAGCTTGTATTTGTAGCATTACCAGTTGCCTGCTGGAGCAAACAGATGCATTTCTTTAGTTTATTACTATGATTAGTGATCTCAAAGCTTTGCCTAGTTGGGCTTTCAGCCAGTTCAACCTCATATGTAGCTGGATCCCAGAGCCATTTGCACACACTCTGCACAAGGGGAAGTTGGGCAGGTTTAAAGCATTTGTTATGTCCAAGAGGCACTGCAAGCAAAAACAACCTTATGAGTACTTACAACATTTCTGTGAGGAAAGCACATAAATATATTACTTATCCACTTATATATGTGGAATAGAAGCACATTTTCTCATCATATGAAAGGAACAAGGGGCAGAGTTCAGATATGCACCCAAACCTTAGAGCAGTGTTTTGTTCAGTTTAATATAAATAGGGAGAAACTAGCTTAGCCTCCCTGACTGTACAGAATAAAAAGAGGAGAATGCAACCATCCACAGCCCAAAATTCACTCTGCACCAAACAGAACTAATGAGGGGAGGTACAGGCTTCTTAACACCTTCCTCGTGCTTTTCCCTCCCCTTTCTTGCCTCCCCAAATTAAATCCACGACTGAGAATTCTACAAGATCTCCTTTACAGGAAAATACTTTGATGTTGTGTGCTCATGAAACATTTGTGGTTTATGTCTTCCAGAAAATCATATTGACGTGCCTCAAGATGGGAGAGGTAGGACCAGACTTCAAGGAGCAACTTTCAAGAAAATCAGCTGAATTACAAGAGGAGGAAAGATTAGGGATAAGCAGGAGAGGGAAAGACTACATGAGGAAGATGGAGCAAGTCACCTGAAGACAAACATCATTCAGACAATTTCTGGGAGGAAATGATACAGAAAGAGTCTCCAGGAGAAAGTAGTCTGTAAGCAATATTTTAGTTCTAGACCAACAATATTGTCTCTGAAAGAAAGCACCATATTTGAGAAAACGCTGAATAGGAAGAACATTAAGTTGCTCTGGCAAATCCACACAAAGGTGGAAAAAGATCACAAGACAAACCTGTGGTAGATAACTTTTCTTTGCCTCCCCATCCATCTATTGCCATTTGAGCCTAATCTAAGTGTCAGAATACCGAATGTGAGTTTTTCCAAAGTTCTCTGGTGAGTTTTTTGTCACAGTAGGGTAGGTGCTGGCAATCCACATCACTGTTAACCATATTTACCATATGCATTGCAAGGTAAGCAAAGCCCTTTTTACAGAGTCCAACTGCAGGGTAGCAGTTGTTTCAACCTGAATGCACATTTGAAGATGAGTGGCAATGATTCTGCTAAGACTTCAAGCAGTTGAGCACGTCTTAAGTTTAGGTTCACACACCTTCTTCAAGAGGGGAGCTTTATTAGGAAGCAACACAGGCACCCAATTCCACCCCCACGCTCCTTGAAGATGAAAAAGAAACAAAAAACAAAAGTTGACCAACTACGTATTTCAAAAGCAATAATACCATTTTCCCTCAGCTTTACAAGGCAATAGTCCAACTCCCTCACTCACTGACTGGTTTCAGAGTTTACACCTCACAAATCCAAGAGTTCATTCGTAAGCCAGAATGATGTGGTAACAATGATGTTACCACAGAAGTACTTGGTCACCAGGTTGCAATGGGTTGACAACGGGACAGAGTAATTTTAAAATCCTCCAGTATCAACTACATGAGCAAACCCTTTGAAGTTCAGTTATTTAAGAGGTATACATGGAGAACCTGGCAGTGGCACCCAAACAGAGGAGTTTCATCTGGAAATCATAACACAAAGCCCTGGTAATGCCAAATTAATCCTTCAGTCCTAATATTTTGCCCTGTAAATCTGAATAACTTTAAAATGACCATACATTCTGCTGTACGACCAACACAAGGAATACCTGGTCTATGCACAGTCAAGTTTTCCTTTTGGACCTCTTTGGCTGAGTGAATTTTATTCTCCTGTTGATCTTAAAAAGGGACACTATTCTGAGTTACCTGAACTAATTCACGACTACTGGAGTGCAGGGTGATGCATGACTAAAACCAGACAGGAATAAATAGTGTTGGAGGACACAACAAGGCTGGAGACCACCAGAGTGCCCAGCCTTCAAAATCTGAGCAGGATACCAATATGCACAAGCCCCTTTTCTTTACAAACCAAGTACTAAACGTGCCTGGTATCACTGAGTAAGGACAGGCAACAGCTCAGAGAAAGAATTCAAATGCCACAGGCGGGAGTGCCACCCTGGGGGGCTTTAGACTCCATCCTGTCCTAGCTAAGCTTGATGCCTGGCCCATTCTCACTCATCACAGAAGCTCCTGAGTAAATAACTTAGCTTGTAGAGCCCCGGAGGAGCTGCCACAGTGCAGCTGGGCTGTTTGACACTGTGAGTGACACAGCACTTCAAATAAAACAGGGCCAGTATTTTTTTAGACCTTGACTCACACTAAACCTCAGAGATTCTTCTAGTTTTTCAAAAAGAATATGTCATCAGAGCACTGCAAACTTTTCCAAAAAGAATATGTCATGAGGGCACTGTGGAACCATCCAAAGCACTTCAGCTGGGAGCAGAAAGGATCATCAGCAAAGACACACTTGCAGATCCTGGCAGACAGTCTAAACTGCTCTCTTCTTGAGGATGAGGGGTTCTGTAGGGAAAGGGTCTGTGCTCCTGGGTTGGGAGAGCTGATCCTGATGAGATGGAAGGTGGTGCTCTTAGTGCCAACTCACACAGAAAGCAAAGGAAACCACGGAGCTGGGGGCAGTGCTATCCATGGCTCTGCCAACATCACACCTTCTCCACACTCCCTCATTGTCTCCAAGATCCATAACCCCTGCAGGCACCCAAAAAAGTGCATATCTACACCTAAAAAGTGCATGTCTACAGACTCACCTAGGCACTTTGCGGTAACTCTTTGCTCCTTTTCCCTTTTGCCAGCACCTGCTTCCATCGTGAGGTGACGACTGCCACAGAGAGCTTTGTAAAAAAGCTTATGTTCATGGAGGAATTTGTATTAGATACTGGTTTGTGTGACTTACTGTATTTTGTAAGGGTTTTTTTCCCTCTGGGAATTGTGTGTTATAACTGAGCAGTTTTATGCTTTCCTTCTAGTACACGTATACCTTGTAATGGATGTGCTTTTTGTTTGTTTGGTTTTCTTTTATGCTCTACACGTGGAGCCAGTTAATAGAAGGTAGATACTCTCTGGCTGGAATTCTGAGTTTGCCTACCAGTTAATTTATGGACAAATCCCTGTTGTAGCTGGTGAGCTACTGTTCACCAAGTGTGTTGTTAGAATCCTCTGATAGTCTCTCTGTTCTAGCAGAATATAAGATCCTGAATAAGACTAATGCTAGCTGGGCCTTAAACTCCAGGGAAATAGTGCACTTCATGTGTTTACCTACCAGCCCTTCTCCCTCAGTGTTTGGGACACTGTAGAAGAGCACTGGCTACACAAACAGTCACCTCAGCATCTCGGCCATCTCTGTAGTTGGGCTCTGATATCCCCCTGCTTTTACTTGACCCAAATCATGGTGAACCAGATAAACTGCAATGAACTTTTCACTTTTTCCTGCAGAGACCGGTTCAAACATAACTTTTCTCTATAAGAAACAACCTGGACTAAAATAGATATATTTTCCTCTATGTCCATCCTGCTCTGGTTGGAAAAATAAGGGATCTAAAATTAGCATTTACAGTCTATGTTACAATGGCAGCTCTCTGTCTCAGTGGTTATTAATGGCCTTCATGCTCCAGAAACCTCCTTCCTTGTCCAACTCATTTTCTCTCTTTAGTTTTACTGAGAATTCATTGTCCAACTTCTCAATAATTGCTGTGTATAATGTAGGACATAAAAAGATAAGTTATAAAGCTTGTGCAGGACTTGGTGTTGTAATGAACCATCTTTTGTGCCTGGTTATCAATTTTACAAAACCAGAGTGAAAATAATCCGGCCTCTCAATGTCTACTTCAGCATATTGTAGCAGCTCTTTTAGATAACTGTTTTTTATAGTTTTACTGTAATTTCTGTACGAGGACTGTCCACTTGAACAAGCAACAGGTCAAAATGGTTTTGTAAAGTCAGTTCTGTTTCACCACCAGTGATGGTGCATGAAAGGTAAAGCAGCAAAAACAAAACCTCAGCCACTCACCAGGAAGAAACATCTTTTCTCAGCCTCAAAAAATTCTCTTCTGCGAGACAGGCATTTCTTCTAGTCCTCCTTTTACAAAAGTAGTAAATTACTAAGAATATATAGAGTACAATAGTCTATTTTAATAGTCAGCAGACAAATTTTAGGCTAATTAAGCTAACTAGAAATTCTAGGGTTGCAGTGATTTCTCTTTATTAATACATTGACAATAATACTGTTTACATAACACTTGATGTTTGAAATCAATACGTGCCAGTGTCCAGTGATTTGCTAACCTAGTTTTGGATCTAATCCTGTCCTATATTTTGCAGCATTCTCTGACTTCATATTATGAATCATGTTGTCTTTCTAAAGTGATTGCCAAGTAAACCAAAAATGTGTTTTACACTGCTATTGCACTGCTCTTGTCTTTATATACAGTAGTTTTTATAAAGATGTCCTTAGGTTTTAATAAATGAGTGTAATGTAAACTAATCTCTGTAATAAAACTTGCTCTTTAGTGTTTCAAAGGCTGCCTGGAATAGCTGTAGAGATTTGAGTTTCCCTGTATTTCAATAGCTCCAAAATCTGGGGCTTCCTTTCTGTGTGCAGGGAAATGCCCAGATACCAGCACTCCACAGTGTATTTAATACAAAGAATGATACTTGGACTGGAGAGAGGGGGAAGGGGCCCCCAAAAAACCAAATCACACCACAAAAACGTGGCTGAGGCTACTGCATAAATAAATACATTGTCCCTTTAGTCTGCATCACGTTTCCAGCAGTTTCGACACCCAGATATTTAAGAGGGAAGTGTGGGATACTGAACAGAGACTGCTAAGGAATAAACAAAACCTTTCCACTACTTTAGGTGAGCGGAGAAGAAACTGCAGCTGAGCAGAAGGAAAGCAACATTTTGACTTCCACACACCAAGAACTCCATCCCACACGGCTGTTGTGGTGGGTCCTCCTCTCCCCTGAGGCAAACACAATTTAACTTGCTCTCTACAAAAGGGCAGGACCAACAATTCACAGAAAAAGATCTTTTTTTCCTTCCAGGCTGCAGGATTTGGACAGTTTTTCCAGAAAGATTTACGTTTTCTTAACACACTGTGATCTCTCTCGAGGCCCTTTGTTACCTGTTGTTTACAGGAATCATTCCAGATGTTCCCAAAACACTGAGGACACCGAGCTGAAATTTCAGCTCTCGCACCGGTAAAAAGAAACAGTTGCGACACAACTGGATTAAACACACACACAAACCCAGAAAAAATAACCAGCAAACAACTGCTGCTTTGTGTTGGCAGCTTTGCTGATGCTTCAAGCTGTGCCTCCCTCCACTCACTCCTCGAGGAAATGTCAGGAATGCACTTGGGGTGTGCAGGTCCTAACACAGAGTACAGGCAGGAAGGAGATTCCAGAGGGGATTCTCACCTCTTGGAACCAGTTCCTTCCCTCAACAGCAACAGTTCTTTCTCTTCCCTGTCCTGCTGCTCCCAAGCATGTTTTCCTCAGCTTCTCCTGTACTCCCTGGACTTGTCCTCCCTGGCTCACCCCAAAACCTTGGCGTCCAACTGAAAGCCTGGCACTTTACAAACTTTATCACATTAGAAATCATTCTTTCAGTAACAGATCACTGGCCTCAGACTGTGCTGTAGAAATGTACCTAAACCAGTCAAAACTGCAGGAATTTTAAAGCCCCGTTTTAACGATGAGAAATCCTTTGCAATGTCATTTACTTCATGTACCACAGTTCTCTCCTGCAGCTTCTGTAACAGGGCGAGTCAGCTCAGAAATGGAAAAGGATCATTTTCATTACAGCAACACTCCAGTAATTCTTAGGGGTTTTGCAACTGTGAGAGACCATAATTGCATCCCACTGCGCCAAGACTTATGGAAACATATTGCAGAAAGAAAGAGGACAAAAAGCAGCTTTAAAAACATATAAATACGCAAAATTACAAATAATTGCAACCCACATCCCTTCTCAAAGTGCACTTGCAGTTGTGACAACAGCTAAATGTGTAAGACAAATGAGAAGGGAAATGGTAAATGCGCATATTGGGTGTGTTGCAGCTCCCTTACCAAGTTGAAACGATTTCTACAGTGTGCTTCTAGTAATTGAGTAAGAATTATATTGAACACATTATGCTCAGCAGGAACAGCTTTCATACACCAAGGAGCAAATTAAATACCTCTGGAATTTCCACAGAAGATGTTAAAATGCTGATAGTGACTTACAGACTGTCATTACCGAGCCATTATCACCAAACTAAAACAAACAGGAGCATCACAGCCAGTTCCTTTAAATTGTTTATTCTGACTAGAAAGCAAAGACTGCCCTGATCTGCTGGTTGTTCACATGTACAGAAGGACAAGGAGAGAAAAGAAACCTACATTTTGATATTTATTGCCAAAAAAACAACCCCCTGTCACTCTCACCCAAGTTATTCTCAACCCTTAGTTCAATTTGTGCATAAAATGGAAAAACTTTTTTGGGGAAAACACACTAATACGTAAGGTATGGGTGGGTATCCGTGGGAAAAGCATGTAATGGTTTGATTTTCCCAGTCAGAACTTTAACTCCCTTCTCTGAACAGCTGAACTGTACAGAGCCTTGAGCTCCTCTCAAGTTGGAATTCGCCATTTCATCCTTAAGTGCAATTCCATCACTGGTGTTTATTTGGAAGGATAATGAGGAATCAGTAGGATGTTATAAAGAACTGAAAAGTCATCTACAGAGAGGGAAACTCGCTGTGCTGTCTCTCTTGAACGAGCTTTTTGCCTCATTGTTGAGTCTTTCACAGCCAAAAAAAACCCCCTAAAGCACTAAAGGCAGAGCAGATTTGAAGAGGCTGAGGGGAAGCTTTTGGTAGGAGATGTTGGGTGTCTCAAGCCACTTTCTGGGCCACGAGGAGGGACAGACCTGAGGACCTGAACACAAACAGCTGCTGCTTTGTTGTGGCAGTGACAACTGACAACTGGATTTAAATCCCTGGCTTTGACAACCCACAAACAAAAAAAGCTCGATCTAAGTAACGTTTCAGAATACTCTCCCCATGGCCACCTACTCTCCAGATTTAATTTAAGCCATTTTCATTAGAGGTTTTTAATTAATTTTTTTATTAACTCTTGTATAGTAACTGCTGTAAAATGCTTTTTTTTTTTTTTTTTTTCAAGTAGGGCTATTGAAAACAATCCAAACCTTAGAAGCATCTAAAAAGCTGTGTTCCCACTGGATCTTGAGTTTTTTTGCTCCCCAACTGTTCTCCAGCATCTGCTGTCCCAGGAATCAAGTGCATCATTGTTTGATGCTATTAATGTGCAATATCAAACTCTTCACTTCAAAGCCACCTTTCTGGAACGTGGCTGGATTTTGGTAGAAGATTTTATGCTGCCGGGGCAGGTGGAAGCACAGTAGGAAGTGCCACCCCTGGTGACGAAGTGGTAGCTGGGGTTTGCTGTATAAACTCCATTATCATTTCAACCACACCTTCTCTTTCCCTGAATGAATGTGCTCTAAGCAGCTACCAGAGAAAGGGAATTTATGTAGTGAGGAGGCACAGCATCCCTGTGCTGTCTCTGCTATTATTATGCAGATAGAGGAGCTCAGACATTTCACAGCCTTTCCCTTTTCTCTTCACTAGCTGCATGGGTGTTTGTTATAGAAATCATCTCTAGCTAACAAAAAAAAAAAGTCAGAAGCCCCAAACCCAAGGGAA